TCACAATACAATGCTAACACAGATCCACCCAGACACACAGGCCTTCTGAGAAGGAGTGGGGGTAATGTGATGAAAGCTGCCCATTTTAGCCACAGATGTAAGGAGGCAGGATGGTAGCCAAAGACCAAGGGGGAAAGTGCCCTTCATCAGGAGGACTCGGCATGGAAGCACTGAGTTTGGATTCCTAATTTTAAACTAGAAGGATTCTACTGTATGTCTTAGTTTCTTAGCGCTGTTGTAACAGAAATACCACAAGTGAGTGGCTTTAACAAATAGAAATTTATTTTCTTGCAGTTTAGGAGCTAGAAGTCCAAACTCAGGGCACTGACTCTAGAGAAGGCTCTCTCTCTAGCTCTGGGGGAAAATCCTTGTCAGAGCTTCTCCAGCCTCTTGGTTCTTTGGCTCCTCTGGTGATCTCCACTTGGAACTATCTTCCCCCATTTGTGCTTGCTTGTCTCTGCGTCTATGCTTTTCTTTAGACCACTTGGAAGTAACTGGATTCAGGAGACCCTCTATACTGGTGGCATAGGGCCTAAGACATTTGACTGCTAACCAGAAGATTGATGGTTCAAACCCACCAGCCACTCCTCAGAATGAAGATTGGGCAATCTACTTCCATAGTGATCCCTCCTTGGAAACCCAAGGAGGGATGGCTATGAGTCCTATCTGACTTGAGGGCAGTGGGTTTGGGTTGTTGTTGTTGTTCGTTTTTTTTTTTTCCCCCCCATATGCAGGTATGGCTCCATTAACATAATAAAGAAAATCCTATTTCTAAAGGAGATTATGTCCACAGATAGGGAGGTCAGGGTTCAAACACCTACTTAACATTACTGTTAAGACTCAGAGATTCTCTAGATCAAAGCTCTTATTTTACCAATGATGAGACAGACAGAGGGAAGAGGCCTGAAAACAGACCCCACTGTCGCCCAACACGCCTACAGCCAAGAGCTCCTAACTCTTCCCAGAATATATTGACAGCTTTCTGAAAAATTATCTAAGAGAACCTATGTGCCCATTTATACTGAGCAACCAATATCCAACTAAGAGACCTGTTAATAGAGAAGCAACCTTGTTTATATACAAAATTTAGATATTAAACATTCAGTAAATATACTGTAAGTCAAGGGTTGGAAAACTTTTTCCATAAAGGGCCAGCGAGTAAACATTTTAGGCTTTGCAACTGTTCAACTCTGCCACTGAAGCTCCCACGCAGCCACGTTATTGTTGTTGTGTGCCACTGAGTCGATTCTGACTCACTGTTGTTAGATGCCATCATGTCGGTTCTGATTCACAGCAACCCTATGTACAACATAACAAAACAGTGCCCAGTCCTGCACTATCCTCACAGTTGCTGCTATGTTTAAGTTCATTGTTACAACCACTGTGTCTGCCCATTTCGTTGAGGGTCTTCCTCTTTTTTACTCACCCTCTACTTTACAAAGTATGATGTCCTTCTCCAGGGACTGATTTCTCCTGATAACCTGTCCAAGGTCCCTGAGATGAAGTCTCACCATCTAATGCTTCTAAGGAGCATTCCGGCTACACTTCTTACAAGAAAGATGTGTTTATTCTACTGGCAGTCCATGGTATATTCAATTCTTTGCCAAGACCCCAATTCAAAAGCATCAATGCTTCCTGGTCTTCCTCAGTCATTGTCCAGCTTTCACATATATATGAAGCGATTGAGAATACCATGGCTTGGGTCAGGGACACTGCTTTTCAACATTTTAAAGAGATCTTTAACAGCAGATTTGCCCAGTGCAGTATGTAGTTTTGCTTGGTTTATGGTATCACTCACTATTCTCCCTGAGTGTAGTCTATGTACTTTGCTATCCTATCTTGGCCAGAATGACTGTCTTAACATAAAAACCCCCTAGACTTCCCGTCAAACCCACTCTCAAGATTGTTCCCCAGCTCCTACTGCCTGAAGAAGAAAGTGTAACCTCCTTTATGTGCATACAAAGCCCAAAAGCACTGCCCATACATCCTTGATCCTTGACCAAACCCCTTCTACCACTCCTTCTGCTCTGTCACAAGGAACCATATGCAGTTTCCTCAACAGTCTATGCATTCTCATGTTTCTGAGCCTTAGTATATGACTTTCCTGCTGCTTAAAATCCTGTTAAGGAACGCTGGTGGTGCAATGGTTAAGCAGTTGGTTGCTAACTGAAAGGTTGGTGGTTCAAACCTACCAGCTGCTCTGTGGGAAAAATATGTGGCAGTCCGCTTCCATAAAGATAAAGCAGTTCTACTGTCCTGTAGAGTTGCTGAGTCCAATGGACTCAAGGGCAACAGCTAAACCTGTTAAATCTGTTAAATGTTAACAATTTTAAAAACAGTTCAATCTTCTTTCCCCAGATATCTCTATGGTTTGCTTCCTAATTTTCTGTTTGTGCTCATGTGTCCACCTCTCAGAGAGGGCCCAACCCCTTTGTGTCTTCACATAGCTTTATTCTTCCTTACACTTCTACCCCTGACAGTCTGTACATTTGTTTATCTGTTTATTGACTGCCCCCACCCCCATGCCCTTCTCCCCCATTGGAATATAGACTGAGAGAGCAGGACCTTTGGTTTTTTTCTTTCTTAATTCCCAATTTCCATAACAGTTGTTGAATAAAGGAATTTGTTGAATGTTTCCTCTACAGGGAATGCCCTTCCTTGACTCATCAGGCTGATATACTCTTATTTATCAATCTCAGTTCAAGTACAGCCTCTTCTATGCAGTGCTCCCTTGACTCTCCAAAGGAAACACAGAGGCAACTGTCATTATGCTCTCAAGGTTCTGTGCACATCTCTACCAGGGCCTCAAACTGATTCATTTCAGTTCAACCTCCCGCTGAGAATTTGCATTTCCACCCCAGATATACTGAATCAGAATCTACATTTCAACAAGATCCTGAATCAGAATCTATCTATACTCTTACAACATCCCCAGGTGATTAAGAATCTGGGGTGGAAATGCAAATTCTCAGCAGGGGAGAGAACTGGAATGAATTGTTTTGAAGCCCTGGTCTCCTACAGAAGTCATTTGTTGACAGAATCATTTGGCTGTCTCTCTGTCACAACTTGAACCTTACGTATGCTTCTCGAGTACAGAACGTCTCTCTTCATTCTTGTGTGTCCAGGACACAGCACACTACCTGGTCCAATATAAGTGTTTAATAAATGTTTACTAAATGAATAAATCATTTTCAAAAGCGCTTTCCTCTGCACAAAGACAATTAACCCATTATGAGACTGGTTTTAAAATTTGGGCTTCACCAACTCAATTGGTCAGAATTTCATGCTAAATTGACCAAACTCTAACATCCGTAATAACACTGACAAAGACACAGAAACAAAAATAGTTCTTTTTGAAAGATAACTTACCCATAATCCTCTAAGGCACATCCCAGCATAAGAAAAGTCAACCCAATAGCCCCACTGAAGGATAATGCCACAAGAGCTGTGAAAAACAAAATTAAGATTTAAATGCTGATCCCAGATCACTGGATAGAGAATCTAGGGGGAGGACGGATGTGGAATGACTACTATCGAGGACAGAGTTGCTTTTTGTGGCGATGAAAATGTTCTGGAATTAGATAGTGGTGATGGTTATACCACAGAGCCCTGGTGGCACAGAGGTTAAAAGTGCTCACCTGATAACCAAATGGTTGGCAGTTCAAACCCATCAGTGGCTCTATGGAAGAAAAATGTGGCCGATTCTGTAAAGTTTTACAACCCTGGACACCCTAAGTGTTGCTATGAGTTGGAATTGACTCAATGGCAATGAGTTTGAGTTTTGGTTTTGGACAGTTGTACAAGCTTGTGAGTATACTAAAAACCACTGAATTAAACACTTTAAAGAGGTTAGTTTTATGGTATGTGACTTTTACCTCAATAAAAAAGATTTGAGTAAAAAAAAAAGCATTAAAGATTGCAAAGTTAGCAATTTATTTCATTACCTGATGTTACATTTGACTAGCAAATAACTGCCTGTGCCCACCACTTTACAATCATAAGGTAGAGAAAGGTCACAAGTATTTCCAATACCAAACTTCCATCTAATGCCTGAATTTCTTCTGTATTTGTCACAAAATAGGCTGGCTAGTCAGTCTGAACAACTCCAGGGAAGAGAAACTCACTACCACCTAAGGCAGGCCATTTCATTCTGACAGTTTCTATACATTGAAAGCCCTCCTTCCTTATATCCAGAACTGCCTGTCTTCAGTGACTTTGCCCTCCAAAACCACAGTACTTCAAATATTTGAAGGTCGCTTTCATGACTGCAGAGAAAAATGATTCCCAACTAATATCCACTAAATAAAGATATTCCATGCATCTGTTGCGCACTAAGCTCTGAAGGGTAGAATTTACTTGTCCTTGTCATGCTACTGAGTGAGAAACAGATTATCATGGCTGTTAAAAAGCTTGAGCTCTGAGTCACAAATATGAGTTCTCTTTACTCTGCCCTGCTAGGTAGTATGACTGTGGGTAGAAACTGAACCTCTTTAAACCTCACTTCTCACCTGTAAAATGGGAATAATGGTGCCACCTTATTAGGGAGTATATGGGAGGTGAATAAAATCATCTACGTAAAGTGCCTGGCAAAAAGGAGGTGCTCAATAAGTATGTTGATTGATGCAGGCATCTGCTTATTTTATAAGTCCAAATCAAAAACATAGAACTCTCTATTGGCCAAATGTTCTTCCGGGGTTGGGGGGGGGGGACCCACAACACTCAAAATTAGTCATTGATTAAACTAATTGACATTTTTATTGTTTCCTTTTACTTCAAAGGAGATTTAGGGAGACTAAGAGGAGATTTGGAGAGACTGATTTCTAGGAAGAAGGCAAAAGTTTGTTTTTTTTTTTAATTAAAAAAAAAAGTCTCAAGTATACATACCAAAATGTTAATATGGTTTCCACTGCAGACGACATTAGTGAACAAGGAAGGATTGTCACTTTTAACTTGTCGCTTTTTCCAATTAGTACATGTCACGTGTTAATAGAAAAACGTACCAGTGTAGAAGGAAAGTCACTTTTCACATATTATTTGACTACAGATGACCTCCCTAGTAGAGTCTATTTTACTCCTCTATGTCTCCTCTGGGAGCTCTGGTAGCATAGTGGCTAAGACACTTGCCTGCTAACCAGACGGCTGGCGGTTCAAACCCACCAGACACTCCTCGGAAGGAAGGTTGGGCAATCCTACTTCCGTAGTGATACTGCCTCAGAAACCCAAGGAGGGGTCACTATGAGTCGGGGCCGACTCGACGGCACATAACAACAACAACGTCTCCTCCACGAGGCTTTTCAAAACTAAGAATCTAGACTTTTCTGTGCTATGACACTCATCTCTCAAGATTCACAACAACATCTCTAATTGGTTCTTTTTTGGCCTTTTAAGGCCTCCCCCCACACACACACACACACAAAATTAATAAATAAATGAACCTTACCCTCTGCCATCTTTTAAATTTGGAGTTGCCCACCAACTCCATCCCCCTCTATTTTTTTGGGGGGGGGTTTTTTTTTTTTTATTATGATTTGGGTGAGCTTACACAGCAAATTAATTTTCCATATAGCAGTTCATACACATTTTGTTTCATGACATTGGTTGTAGTCTCCATAACATAACAGCTCTCTTCCCACTTCCTCCCTGTGGTTACCCTATGTCCTTCTTTCCTATGCACTCCTGTCCTCTGAACTTTCTCCCTGTGCAAATACTGCCCTTCTCATCTCCCATGGTTGATTGTTCTAAGGAGTGTACCTACCTGGTGTAAATATTCACCCTACATACCTGTCTGTTGTTTGGTTGGAAGCCATAGGAGTGAGTTCAATTCCAGGCCCAAAGGGTGACTAGGGACCACAGTCTCAAGGATTTCACCTGTCTCTATCTAACCAGTAAGCCTGCTCTTTTTTTTTTTATGATTTTGAGTTTTGGTCCACATTTTTCTCTCACTCTATCCAGGATCTTCTGCATTAATACCTTGCCAAGTGGTTAACAGTGGTAGCAGGGCACCATCCAGTTCTTCTGGTCTCAGGATCATCCTGTAGGCTGAGATTCACATGGTCTACTAGTCCCTTGGCCTAATTGTTTCCATGTTATCTTTGGTTTTCTTCATTATTCTTTGCTCCAGACAAAGAGCATCTAGATGGCTGCTTGCAAGCTTTTGCTACTCACCAAAGTAGGATGTAGAACAATGCTTTAGTTTAGTATGTTATACCAATTCAGCTTGACGTCCCCCATGACCATGGTCTCAAACCCAGCGGCCCAACAACTTGCTCCCTCACGGTGACTGACTGTGGCTAAGAAGTTATCACAACTTCGCCCCATGTTACCAAAAAAACAAACTAACTGCTGTCGAGTTGGATCCAACTTTGGGTTTCTGAGGCAGTATCACTACTGAAGTAGATTGCCCAACCGTCCTTCTGAGGAGTGGCTGGTGGGTTTGAAGCGCCAGCCTTCTGATTAGCAGTCATACGTCTTAGGCACTGCTCCACCATGGGCATTCTTATAGTACATACAAATACGTATGTAGAAATATTGTCTGTCAACCTTACATATGGTCATGGGTATATTCCCTTTTGCCTAGATACACCTGATCATTCAGCCTATTTACCTATGTATCTACCCACAGATTAATGTTTGTTATTACTGATAAGGCAGTACTGCATATGCAAAAGTATTTATCTTCGTTGTCTCTTCCTCTTACGTACCTCTCTGTCTTCCTTTTCCTTAGTGTTATTGTGTTGGTCACTTGCTTTTCCCTTCACCCAAATCAATACTTGTCTTTGAACTGTTTAGCAATTTTCCCTTCTCTCCCCTCACTGCACATATTCTTGCTAACAAATAGCATTTACCCCAAAGTTTCCGTTGCTGCAAGTGCCTGGCACCTCTGATCTCCAGCTCAGAGCTGGTCCTAAAAACTAGATCTGCACATCCAACTTCAATTTGGCCTTCTCTGACTGGGCAGCCAACCAAAAAAAAAAAAAAAAAACAGACCCACTGCCACAGAGTTGATTGCGACTCTTAGCCAACAAAGACTTCAAATTCAACATGTGTAAAACCAAATGATCATCTGGCCTCCTCTCCCGTACCGTACTTACTCTTTCTTTTGAATATCCTGTCTTGGAGGATAGACACTATCATTGCACTCCAACTTCCAGTGAGTTACCAAGTCCGGGTGTCTCACTCTCCCAAATCCACCCTCTTCTCTAGAACCCTCTGCCACTGTCTTGTAGCAGGCCCTCATCATCTCACCATTACAAGAATCCACCCTACAACCATGATTCTTCCAATCCTTCCCTTCCACATCAGACAGTGAGCTTTCAACTCTATTAATCTGACGTCCCACATTTGCAATTGCTTTCACTTCTTCCAGTTGCCCTGACAGTTGAGGCTCACCGTGGTCTGACTCATGACTGCCTTTCCAACTTCCACGCTCATCAGTTATCCCCTGCTCATCACTCTTCCCCTACATATAGTCTTACTAAAGTAGCTTAAACTGAAGAGATATGCTCCTTCATGCCTCCTTTTCTCCACCACTCTACCATGTCACATGTTTTCTCCACCTGGAACATATCTGCCTTCCTGAATAAGGTGAAACCTTTTTTGACCCTTTTTGATTCAGCTCAAGCATACCTGTTCTGTGAAAACAATCCTCTTCTTCCCTGAAGCAGGGTGAAGTAATTCCATCTGTTTCCCCACTATACGTAAAAACACCTTGTCTACTTAATTGTTTCCAGCTGTAATCCCACAATAACTTCCCATTTATTTTTTTGTCTTAAATCTCAGGCATACAGTAACTCAAAAAACTCACTGCCATCCAGTCGGACCCGACTCATAGTGACCCCTCCTTGGGTTTCCGAGGCAGTATCACTACAGAAGTAGATTGCCCCATCTTCCTTCCAAGGAGTGGCTCGTGGATTTGAACCACCAGCCTTCTGGTTAGCAGTTTTTGGGCACTACACCACCAGAGCTCCTCAGGCATACAGTAGTTCTTCAACAAAGTTGAATAGAATTAACTGCAAAATGCATCTCCCCTTATTCCTTTTCTATTTAATATCCTATCTTACTTTTTCCTAGTCACAATTTCTAATATGTTCACATTTAAACATCGTTATTTGTAAGTTTTTGGTTATGACTAAACACTGTGTAGTACTTAAATACTACTTTTAACGTTTTTTGCAGTGGCTCCAAACTACTATATTACACACTGGACGCAGTCCAAATAAACCAAGTTTACTAAACTGATAAAAGTTTAACACGCAGCCAGAAATGATATCTGCTGCTAACAAACAGCTCACACACTCAGATACATTTCATAGTGAACACATACATACACACTGTACACGTTTATAGCTTGATACTGGGTTAGTGGGCAGAGATGATGTTTTGGTACAAATATCAGGAAGGATAAGAACTCCAACATGGAAACAAGTTATGCTATTCTATTCACAAGGTTAGAGACATAAGGATTTCCTACCAAAATCCTTCTGATAACCTCTCATCGCTGCCATTCCTCACTCCTCTGAAGACATAAAGGGAAACAGTGTTCTTGGTATCCCTTTTTATCATGTCCTACTCAAAAACACATTGCACAAACACTATCTTCTTGTCTTTCCAGAAATGGAGAAAATATTGAAGAAAATATTGTTAAAATGCTACTAATCTTCACAATTACGAAAAACACAACATTTCTGGGAGCTTTCCGCCCGCTGTCAAATCTGCCCAATAGAAAAAAAAAAAAAAAAATCACTAGGTACATGGGGATTAAGTTCCCCAGTGAAAAGAACACTGGAGAACCAAAGGCTTCTCTGTAACAAATGAGAAACTCGGCTGAGACGTAGGAAAAGGGAGAAGATTTAGGCGGAGTGGATAAGCAGGGAAGCGGAAACACTGTTTAGAAACTAGGCAGCCGGAGGGAGGAGGGGCGCTCCGACGTACGGAGCAGGAGTCCGGGAGGTGATGAACCCAGAATCTCCCAGGGAGGCGCGGCTCCGCGGTGAGGCCTCTGTGTAGAGGGAGCGTAAAGACGTCGGGTGCGAGCGTGAAGGCCAATGGTCTTGCAAGAAAAAAAAAAAAGCCCTGAGATTCCACCCGAAACTCCCCTCTACTAGCATCCCAAGGGGCAACAGAAGCAGGAGGGGTGGGAAGAGTGGCGGAGCTGGGGGCACTGTGCCCTGCTAGTGCGCCGAAGGCGCAGCTCCAGGCTCAGTCCAGAGAAGAGGGGCGACCCCACCGTAGAACGACTGGGCTAGGGGCCGCGATGTACCTTTAATGCCCGCCATTTCTCCCGAGCTGAGACTGGGGCTGCGGCTGCTTCCGGCCTCCAGCCACTGCCACGGCCCCAGCCCAGCTTGAGAACCGCTGGGCAGATCCCGCTGCGCCTCCGCCGCACGTAACCCCACCCCACCAATTCAGAACTCCTCCTTCGCGGTTCCAGAGCTCCCCTCTATTATGCATAGCCCTGCCCCTGTGGATCCCGTCCCCGCCTCCAACGCGCAAACTCCCGCCCTTGTCAGGCCTGAACCAGAGGTAGCCAGGGAAAGCCCCGCCCCTGCCACGCATAGCCCCGCCCCAAATGTAGCCACGCCCCCTAATAAGTATAGTCACGCCCCCTTCTCCTCTCATCCGGAGGCGCCTCCTACTCTCCGAGGCCCCTCCTACTCTCCGAGTTCCCTCCGGGCCCTGTAAATGCGATTTGGGCACTTCTCCGCGAACCGGTGATCGCCACGAGTAACCCTTTTGTCCTGAGCCGTCCTGGCAATATCCGAAATTCCGAACTCGCCCCACAACCTACCCTTAAAGTCTGTCGTCTGGGAACTCTCCAGACTCTGGAAGACTCCCTGCCGACCTCTGATTCTCAGGCCCAGACTCTCGTGAGCAGCGCGGGAGCGCGCCGGCCAGAGGCCTGGGCAGAGCACTGCGGATCCCGGCTGCCTGGATACCTTGCCCAGGAATGGAGACCGACAAAGAGGGGAGAAGGAGGAGGTGAATGGAGGAGGAAAGTTACAATCCGTAAGGAAGAAAAGGGCACCCACATACTAACTAGCATTATGTTTCTCAGACCAACCTCCGTTTGTGGGCCTGTCACCATTCACGTAGCTGCCTTTAGCTCTGGCGGCCCAGAGAACTAGGACTGGAGGAGGGAGCCCCTACTCTTTACCCCCTGCTGTATTTGTAGAGACAGGCCACATGCGTTTCGTGTCCTAGGGTTTGATGCACCTTTAAATAAATAGCTTTTCTTTTTTACCTTGGGGACGCAAAGTCTGTAGGTTACTCAGGCCAGTTTAGGCCACATAGGGCCATTCTGTAAAGGAATGGAGAGTTTTCTCTTTGTGGACATAATCTGGAAGAAACCTTGGAAACTATCTGGTGCAAACGCCTCGTTTTACCTTGGGGAAAAAACCTCACTACAGTCAGTCGGTTCTGACTCATAGTGACCTTTCCTTGGTTTTCCAAAGCGGTGTCACTAGGGAAGTAGATTGCCCCATCTTCCTTCCAAGGAGTGGCTATTGGGTTTGAACCGCTAGCCTTCTGGTTAGCAGTCAAATGCCTTAGGCACTTTGCCACCAGAGCGCCCTTGAAAAGGGGTGTTGTTGTTGTTGTTGTTATGTGCCGTCGAGTCACTGCCCTTATTCACACAACTCTTTGGAGGAGATTGGATTACAGGCCTGTCTCCTCTCAGGAAGCCTGGTGCAGTGGTTAAAGCGCTCATCTAACTGAAAAGTAGGCTGTTGGAACCCACCAGCCTTCTTCTGGGAGAAAGATGTGGCAGTCTGCTTTCTAAGGATTTATAGACAGCCTAGCTCTAGTGGCCTAGTGCCTAAGGCATTTGACTGCTAACCAGACGTCTGGCTGTTCAAACCCAACAGCCACTCCTTGGAAGGAAGACTGGGCAATCTACTTCTGTAGTGATACTGTTACCGGACCAAACGCGAGTCCCTGCCCGGTGCACAGTCAGTTTACACACCAAGATTGAGAGGAGAGAAAATTATTTATTGCAAAGCAGCAGTGCAAGGAGTTAGGGGTAGTCTGTACTCAGATCTTAACTCCCCGAGATGCCATTGAAACACAGTTTTTGCAGGTTTCAGGGATTTGGGGCATGAACCTTAAATGGGTGAAGGATGAGTCACTGGCTTCTTGTTATCGGCTGATAGGGGCATGGGCAGAGGGGAGAGAGTCAGCAATTAACTTTTGTTCCATTATGTCCTGTCAGAGTTCATTTACAAGTTGTTTCTAAAACATTTCTATTGTCCGTGGCCAGAGTTAATCTACAAGTTATTTCTAAAATACTTTTACCAAGTCTTTCATCTGCAGGAAGGAATGTTTTCCATTCAGTTCTTTAAGGAACTGAATACTCATCTGCCCAGGGTGGGAAAATAGTTGGGGGTAATCCAGTCTACTTATTCCCCTGCCCAGTCTTATCTAATTATCTGTCTTAAGTGGGGGGGGGGAATAGTTGGGGGTAATCCAGTCTACCTATCTATTCCCATCCAGGTGCCAGGGTGGTGGGGGAAATAGCACTCAGTTTCAATACTGCCTTGGAAACCCAAGGAGGGATTACTATGAGTCAGATCCGACTCCATGGCAGTAAGTATGGTTTTGGAAACTATGGACCAGTTCTACTCTGTCCTATAGGATTACTATGAGTGGGAATCCACTCGATGGCAGTGCATTTTTAACTATAGTGCTCAGCTAGTTTCAGGACGAAGCGTAGCTCTTCCTCCTAATTGTGAGGATTTCCTATAGTATTCAATCTCCTAATATCTCCTTCCATTCTCAACCCATTGTGTCTCTAGAAAGTCATCTGGAGCCTTCCAGGTCAGCCTGAGGCCAGACTCGAAAAGGGGAAATTATTTGGAGAAAATAGAAACCACTTCAGAGGCACAGTTTTGGTTGAGTGCCCTAGGTTTCTTCCTGGGACTGTGAGAAGCATAAAGATGAGGTATTTGCCCCAGGGTAATGTCTGGACTCAAAAACTAGAGACAGCACAGTATTTATCTCCAACCACCTGCCCTGACCAGGTGTCATTTCCAGTTTACTAAACACATGAACGGCACATAACAACAACAACAACAAACACATGAAAGAGAAAGTTGGCCATTTTATCCTGCCAGAGGCATTGACCATCTCCTGAGAGAATCTACTTTCCTCTTGCCAGATGTGACCATGGCAAATTGTTCTTCCACTTACCCATTCCACACTTCACCAAAAGCAAAGTTAAACTTTAGGCACTGAACCCTATTCTGGACTTGCAATAGGTGTTCCTTGGATGTATAAGATCCATGTCTTCTATCACAGTGCCAGGACTACAATAGATTTCTTAAAATGAATGTTTATATTCTCTCCTTGCGTTCATTTCTCTCACTTTGAACTAGGTTTTATTTCCATTTTATAGATGTGAAAACTAAGACTCAGTAACTACTAGTGAGTTGGGAAGTTGAAGGCAGGAGCTGTTGTAGTAATTAGAAATAACAGTAACCCCATTCCTTGATTTAATTTCCCTATACGTGTCTATGGGAGCTCTGGTAGCATAGTGGCTAAGACACTTGCCTGCTAACCAGACGGCTGGCGGTTCAAACCCACCAGCCACTCCTCGGAAGAAAGGTTGGGCAATCCTACTTCCGTAGTGATACTGCCTCGGAAACCCAAGGAGGGGTCGCTATGAGTCGGGGCCGACTCGACGGCACATAACAACAACATACGTGTCTATAAGGAGCTCCGGTGGTATAGTGCCTAAGGCATTTGACTGCTAACCAGAAGGTTGGTGGTGCAAACCTACCACCCACTCCTCGGAAGAAAGACAGGGCAATCTACTTCTGTAAAGGTTTACTGCCTCAGAAACCCAAAGGGGTCGCTATGAGTTGGAATCAACTAGATGACAATTAGTTGGTTTTGTTGTTGTTGTTGTTGTTTTAGATACATGTCTATTAGTATCCTGAGTAGAGTATACATACAAAGTGTTGGAGATTGCCCCAACCTTCTTTCCAAGGAGTGGCTGGTAGGTTTGAACCTCCAGCCTTCTGGTTAGCAGTCAAGTACCTTAGGCATTATGCTATTAAATGAGAAAAATGAGTATATATAACAGCACCTAGGGTAGTGTGTATGTGTGTGTATATGTATAAAACCAAACCAAACTCACTACCATCGAGTCAATTCCAACTCATAGCAAGCCCCACTGGATTTCCAAGGCTTTTTTTCCATAATCTTTACGGAAGCAGATCGCTCCATCTTCCTTCCAGAGCAGCTGGTTGGTTTGAACTGCTGACCTTCTGGGTAGCACCCAAATGCCTTATCCACTACACCACCAGAGTTCCATATCTGTTGCTGGGGTAGACTCTCAAATCAGTACATAAGTTAAATGCAAGCAAGACATAACACTATTGAAATGAGTTGGTTTCCTAACTCTTCACCACTGCTGCTTTTTACCCAGGCTTTCCCTTTACAAAACCTTCAATGTGTATGTCTTTACCATTTTACACAGGCAGCTCTCTGTCAGCCCAAAGAGATAAGAGTAAGAGGCAAGGCACAAGTGACTTTTGGTTGCCTTTTCCTGCTGATTTATCCACTCCCCACAACCTGAGATTTCAATGTAATTCCAGCCCCAGCACTGACTTGTAGTCATATACTTTGTCTTCTACAAGTAGGGAAGTAGTATAATAATACTTACTACTTAATGGGTGGGAGCTCTGGTGGCGTAGTGCCTAAGGCATTTGACTGCTAACCAAAAGGCTGGCAGTTCAAACCCACAGCCAATCCTCGGAAAGAAGATCGGGCAATCTACTTCCTTGGTGAAACCGCCTCAGAAATCCAAGGAGGGGTCACTATGAGTCGGATACTATTGGACAGCAGGGAGTTTGGCTTTGTTTTTATCCATTTGTTAAGAGGCCGTTTCATACACAGTACCTAACTCCTCCATTGTACGGTTGTTAGGATTACCTCTGTTTTACAGATGCTAAAATGGAGACTCAAGAAATTTAAGAATCTTGCCCAACATGGCAATCTACCTGGCAAAACAAGGATTCAAACCTGGTTCTTCTGGTCTCAAACCAACTCTACCACTTTGCTCAAGTACCATGGTTTCTTTGGAACAATCAAACCCTGTTTACTTGACCTAAATTCCTGAGAAGTGTTTCCAGCAGGGAAACTTCATGTTGCTGTGATAACTATTTACGGAATTTTTGTTTTTTCCATTCCTGACACAGTGGTGTTTGAGTAGTGGCATCAGGATCCCACTTGAGCATGTTTTTCAGATGCAGACAGTACAGTAATGGTTCAAATGCTT